CCTGAATTCAATTCCCGGTTCTGCAGGAAAAAAAAAAAATAATAATAATAATCTAAGGTCACATTATTATAGATAGCTAAGTTAGGTCAAAATGTTATAGGCAATCAGACTGGATGAGGTCCTAGAGAGTCAATACAAAAGATAAAACACATTACAATTGAGGCCCACATGCTTTCACAGGAGCTACGATAAGTGGTAACACCTGGGTCAACAAAGTCTACATAAACATAAGTCACCTTGATGGGTGAGCAAGACCCATGGATCTATCCTTTTGTGAAAAGTTCCTTGTTCTTTCCGTGAGCACTTGCTATGTGACCCACTTCCCCATTAGATCAATACTATCTAAGCGGTGGCCATGCTTATAATCACTGGGTGGTCATAGCTTAGCCCACATTGTACTAGTCTCAGGATTTTATTCTAAACAATTTTCCCTGTGAAGTGGGGTCCATGACAATCCACTCAGGTTCCCTCCTACCTTTCTCAAGAGCTGTGTCTCTTCCAATAAAATTTCCTACTCTTAACCTCCATTGTTCCTTACAATTCATTCTTCGATTTTGGGGAACACAAACTTGGCATATCACTCATCTAACAGGTTGAGGGTTATACTTATTTCTCCCATATAATCTAAAAGTCCTATGTCAACATTATTGTAAAGTTAATAAACCTACGTAGTTAGCAGGTTAGGAGTTGAGGGGTCTTTTTTTAAGCTTTAGTAGCACTTGATTCTCATACCCATTTTGCTAGTGCAATTCTGATTGGAGTTTCTAGGTTTCCAGCAATGGTTCCAAACATGCCTGTTCTACATTGGAGAAGGAAAATACTGTCTCCAAACTCCCTGCTTCACCATGACCTTTCCCCTCCACATTTCTGCTTCTTTCTCCAAATCCTTCAGCACCTCAGAACAACTTTAGTAAGTCCTAGTTGGACAACAGTTGCTAATTATGTCATACTACCATGGGAATTTTAATATTTAACAAGGGCAGGTCCACTCTGAGAAATAATGATACTTTCCATCATTCCAAGTGACAGCAAAGGATGGTGTTCTGGTTTATATCTCTGCTGTAGCTACTTTCTTTCTTTCTTTTTTTTTTTTTTTTTTTTTTTTTTTTTTTTTTTTGCGGTACTGGAGATTGAACTCAGGCCCTTGCACTTGCCAGGCAAGTACTTATTCTACTGAGCTATCTCCCCGGGCCCTCCCTTTTTTATAGATGAACAGTGGCAATGATAGCCACAGTTGTACTTACCCTGATAGTGACCTTACCTCAGCATTACTTTTTTTTTTTTTTTTTTTTTTGGTAGAACTGGGGATTGAACTCAGGACCTTGCACTTACCAGGCAAATACTTATTCTACTGAGCTAACTCCCAAGCCCCAAATTATTTTGGCAGTTTGCATTTCAAAATACTGTTATATATCAGTGCTTTGCAATTTTTTTTTTTTTTTTTTAACCAGGGATGGAACTCAGGCCCTTTTGCTTGCCAAGCAAGCACTTATTATACTGAGCTATCTCCCCGGCCCCTGTGCTTTGCAAATTAAAGGTGCAAATGAGTCTCTACAGAATGTTGTTAAAATGCAAATTGGTTGGGTAATTCCTACTAAGTGCTCAGTTGATGACTACTCTGTTCTGAATAATACTAGTCCAAACTAAAACCAGGCTCTTGACTGTAATCTGTATCCAGTCTTCCCTGAGTATATATCAGCTCACACAACCCAAGGCCTATAGGCAGAATGTAGCACTAGGGAGCTAGTAACACAGCTCCACAAGACCAGAAACTGTTGAACTTGTTATGTGACTTTCAGTGACATTTTTCATGACCCAATTGTGTAGTGCTCAGGCACAGACTGCACAGGCAACAATCACATGCTGTACAGAAGAGGGTACAGGGCAGTGCTAACTCACACAATCCAATCTAAACCAGCACATAGACGACCTGTGTGCATTTGTGCAGCATTGGGGGTAAAACGCAGTGATTGCAGAGAAAAATAATATTTTAACCTACCTATATGGTGTATGCCTGTGAAGACAGGCATTTATTGTTATTAAGTAAACATGTAAGTTTTCTTGTGCTTGCCAGGGAGGCGCTTATGCCACTGAGCTGTATCCCCAGCCCCTGGACACCCATGGTTATAGCAATCGTCTACACCTAGGTAACCTCATCTATTGAAGGTTGGATGCACATTGACTTCAAAGATGTATGCCTTTTGATCCCTAAGTCAAACTAAACCAAACCAAACCAACCAACTGACCAAACAACTACAAAAAAAGGGGGGGAGGGGCTGGGGAGATGGCTCAGTGGAATAAGCCCTTCCCTAGCAAGCACAAGGTCCTGCTTAGGAGGTTGAAGCAGGAGGGTCACATGTTCAAGCCCAGTCTGGACAACTAATTGAGACCCTTTGTCAAAAATAAAACTTAAGGAGATGACCAAGGCCGCGGGATCCTGAACAGACCCAGAGCGCAGGCCCAGTGAGTGAGTGAGACAACCAAGGCCATGGAATCCTGAATAGACCCAGAGCGCAGGCCCGGGGAGTGAGTGAGACAACCGG